GTATACTGCGTCTGCGTTTGACATTTCCTACGACATCTTATCGAGGGAAAGGATTGTTGCCATGTAGTGGAAGGATTGGCAGATTTCTCACCGTAACACCAAAGGGTGACAGCTTAGATAGGGTCGTTTCTGCCCCTGCTTCTGAGCAGTTTTGTCAATTGAGTCCCTTGACTTTGCTCCATTTCTAAAAGACATATATTAATATTTCCAATCAACATGAAGGGCAGATTACTAGAGAATCTCTGAGGGAACAGGAAATCCAGTATGGGCAGAGATCATAGCTTTAGATCAAGGATTTTAACTTGTAGTCCATGGATAGATTTCAAGGGATTCATGAACTTGGATGGGAAAAAATACACGTCTATTCAATATAATTGATTTCCTTTATAATCGCATATACTTAATTTTATTCCTTTGCATTATTCTGAGAAGCAGTCCATAGGCTTCATCAGACTTACAAAGGATTGTTAAGAACCTTGCTTCAGAGGGTACCTTGAACATCATTGTTGGGAAATGGGTCTAGCAAATGCCAGGGGAACTATACCTGGCGTGTATATTTTGAGCTCAACGGCATAAGATTTCAGGCCAAATAACCTTAACTTCTAGGAAACCAAAGGTTTGTGCCTAGAGGCTCTTGCAGTTCCTGACTTAATGGCCCAAACAGCCTTTCTCCACCCCAGGTAACTCTGGCATCCAAGGACTCTAGGTCACAGTTGTGTCCTCCCCAGGACTAGTTTACTTCCTTCCAAATTGTAACATCTTATAGCCCTCAGGATCCCTTATTTGGATTAAGTTTTGAGCTAAGAGCGGCAGAATCAAACCCAAAGGATGATGCAATGGAAAGAACATTGGTTTTGGTGTCAGGCATCCAAAGTTTTAGTTCTGGCTTTACCCTTTATGACCTATCTGCTTTTGGTCACAACTCCTCTGGGATTTCTCTGCAAAACAAGGGAGTTGAAGTAGATGCCTCTGGGATTCCTTCCTTGTTGTAAATCTATGATGATTTGACTCCCCAGGCTCAATGTTCTCTGGTCTTCTCCAATAACATTGGAAATCTCTGTGTTAGAGAATCTGTCTCCAGGTACCCTTTGTATGCAATGAGAGAAGGCACACTTATGGCTTCAAAAACCCAAATGTCAACCTGAGTAAATGGCAGAAAAGGAGGGTGACAGAGACAGGGAGAGAGAGCCAGAGAGATAGAAACAGAGAAAGAGAGAGAGAAGAGGCGAGGAGAGGCGAGGAGAGGAGAGGCGAGGAGAGGAGAGGAGAGGAGAGGAGAGGAGAGGAGAGGAGAGGAGAGGAGAGGAGAGGAGGGGAGAGGAGGGGAGGGGAGGGGAGGGGAGGGGAGGGGAGGGAGGGGAGGGGAGGGAAGGAGGGGAGGGGAGGGGAGGGGAGGGAAGGGAAGGGGAGGGAAGGGAAGGGAAGGGAAGGGAAGGGAAGGGAAGGGAAGGGAAGGGAAGGGAAGGGAAGGGAAGGGAAGGGAAGGGAAGGGAAGGGAAGGGAAGGGAAGGGAAGGGAAGAGAGAAAAAGAAGAGAGGAGAGGAAAAGAAGAGAGGGGAGAGAGAAGACAGAGGCAAAGAGAGAGACAGAGGAGAGACCTCTGGAGAAGAGAGATCACAAATCATGTTTAGTAGGAATGTGAAATTAGAGGCACATACTCTTTCCATTGTTCTGCAGTCATGGCTTCCACACTTTGAGGTGTTTCTATGTTCTATTGCAAATCCCTAGGGCCTCAGTTTTCCCATCTGTAAAATTAGGGGCTTCAACTAGATGGCCTCTGGTGTCTCTTCCAACTTAAAATCTATGGTCCTATACTAGATGACCTGGAACATCCCATCCTGCTCCATGTCTATGATCCTCTTGCCTCATTCCTAAAGGACATATTCTCTCCCCCATCAGCATGCCTCCAGGTTAATTTTCCTGTTGTGTTTACTGGATACTCCCTGAGGTATCAGGAAATGCAGACCAGTTTGGGATCACATCTCCACACACTGCCTTGAACATTAATGGTGAGAAGGGGTCTGTCAGATGTCCAGTGAGACGCTCCCTTGCTATGTCCTGTCTCAACTTTTTTTCTGTCTCTGTTCCATATTTACTCACTTCCTCCCTCAGCTACTTCCTCACTCACACACTCACTCTCTCACTTCCCCACTCACACACTCACTCACACATTTGCTCACTCACTCAGTAATTCACTTATTTATTTACTGAAGTGACGTAAGGCGGCCAGGCACTGTGCTGCAAAGCCCCATCGCTGCTGACTCCTGTCTTTGGAGCAGCTTAGCCAAAGGAAGCGCGCATTGAAGCTGAGCAGTCCTGACATTTAAATTGTCATGGAGACGGGGTCTTTAGGAGGCAGCCCAAAGCCTCTTTTATTTTAACATGACTTTAAGTAATTTGAAAATAAGACCTTGGCTGCTCAGTAGGCTTTCTTTACTGTCCCTGAATCTTTCCCCTTATAGAATGGCTGAAGGATGAGGCATTGTTGGGGAGTGGTATGAGGATGGGGAGAACCAGAGGATGAACCCCTGAACCCTAGAATCTTAGGGCATAGAGAAGGTAGCTGATGAAGGCATCAAAGGCAATTCCCCTCCCTTTTCTCTAGGGAATGTTGGCTCCAACCTCTTATAGGCAGATGGACTTGGGTTCTCTCTCTGCCTCCCTCTCCCACTAAATACCTGTGTGACACAGGGTAAATTGTTCAACCTCTCTGGGTCTCAATTCCCTCCTATCCAAAATGACTGGGATGAACTCAATGGTCTCTAATGCCCTGTCCAGGTCTAAATCTTTGATCCCACAATCTTCGAGATCTTCAGGAAAGAATTACCCTAATTTACCTCCCCTGGCAACAATTTCCAGCCTCTGACAGAGCTTGGTTCCAGCCTCAGTTCCACTTTTCCTCCAGCAACCAGAGTCCAGATGTCCTTACCATGTCCTCTTTGGAGAGGCAAAGCATCTGTTCACTCTGAAGTTCCCATACCTCCCACGATCTTCAATATAAGAGGAGCAAAGCCATTTCTCCCATTATCAAAAGGCCTTGAAATCAGAAGGACCTGGGTTCAGATCCTGACTTGGGCACTTAGAGCTATGGTCAAATCATTTAAGGTCTCTGAAACTGAGTTCCTTCATCTATAAAATGAGGATGATAATGCTGAATGGTTTTTGTGAGGCTTCAATGAACTTATGTATTTAAAGCACTTTGCAAATGTCACGGAACTATATACATATGAGTTGCTATAAATATCAGTATGATATGTACATATCAGTTACTATTATTATTCTGAGCCTCAGTTTATTTTTCTGGCCAAATGAAGGCATAGTTAGAGAGTACTCATTTCTCCACTGCACAGGGGCCCCCAGGAATCAATGTACCTTGGTAGCTTTGGATAAGTGGCGCAGAGCCAGGGTGGTGGGCATGGGAACGTAGGATGGATCAGGCATAGCCCAACAGGTATATCTGTCCCAGGCAGCAAAGGCTCAGGGTAACCCAGGATTCCCATCCCTGGAGAGCAGCCAACCCAATCAGACACCCCCTGAGCTGGCCCACCTTGCCCACTCTGGGTGCCAAGGACCTCAGTCCACAGGTAGGGAGGCCACGCTAAGCTAGGAACCACTGAAAATGGAGTTCACTTTCGTCTCTGACTCAGATCTGGCATGCAAACTTAGTGCAAGATTCTTAGGGCGAAAGGTGAGTGTATCATCTCACTGGGCTGCTGGTGACTCATCTCAAGGTTTGGTCCACTTGAGGGAAGGGGAATGGAGTTGGGGAGGAGCAGATGGCCCAAGTAGACTTGTCCTCTTCCTTTTGGATGACGTTGAATGAGGACAGATGCAGGACAGAAGACTATTTGTCATAAGGATATGACAAAAATAGATAAGAGCAGGTAAGGAAAGGAAAACTCTTCCTGTGCACCACTCATGGGAGGCAGCGTGGCACAGGAGACAGACTGTTGTATTTGGCATAGGAGGTCTTCTGTTCAAATCCTGGCCCTTCCACTGAGTGACCCTGAGCAAGTCACTTTCCATCCCTTGTCTCCTCATAGAGGGGACTGGACTTGATGGGCCTCAGAGGTCCCTTCCATTTCTGGATTGAGGATTCTATGGTCCCACCTACTTGACTTTAGGCAAGTAACTTTCTCTCTCTTGGCCTCAGTTTCCTCTCCTGTAAAATTAGGCAGTTGGACTCAATGGCCTCCATGGCCCCATCTGGCTCTAGTTTAAAGGCCTTATGACCTATTGCTTAGCAATACAGGAAGTTTGTCCACCATCCATAGTTGACCTCACCGAAACTCCTGAAATAGGAGACACGAATCAACCTATGGCTGAACCTTCAGCTACCTCACTCCACATCGCTGGCTCATCAGGAGCTTCTCAACAGATGAGATGAGGCTTTTTTTGTCTTAATGGTAGGATTATAAGCTTTGCTGCCCTCCAGACCACAGTTAGGCTTTGGGGGCCAGCTTAGGAAGGAGGCAGCGGGTGAAGGCCCTGCTGGCAACAGCTGCCCTGCGCTAATGAACAAGTGGTACCCGAGTGCAGGATAGCTGGGAGGGAAGGGTGGCTGGGTGGGCCCAGTGGTTTGGGGGGGATATTCTGCTGCCCGCAGGAGCCTTTTTGCAAGGGAGTTGGGTTGTAAGCCAGCAGGCCCCCAGCATTCCTTAAGAAAGCATTCCATATTTTTCTGTGGCTTGGCAAGCCCACGGCAGAGCGTGAGGGTTGCCATAGTGACATCTCTGCTATACAGATACTCTTTGTGGGATTTGCCATGCACTGCTCTTGACCCCAACACAGGATGCTCCCGAGTTGGGATGTCAGAGAGGTGGCGGGCAGAGGTGGGAGACAAAGCTGTAGCAACAGCTTCTACTTAGGACAAGGGGATGAAAGGAGGTTTCTCCACACAATGGACAGAGCACTGGCTCTGGCATCAGAGGACCTGAGTTCAAAGTTTGCTTCTGACACCAGCTATGTGACCTTGGGTAAGTCACTTAATTTCCCTAGTACTCAGTTTCTTATTCTGTAAAATGAAGGGCTTGGACCTTATGGCCTCTGGGGTCTCTTCCATCCATAGACCTAGGGGCCTGTAATCTTTTTTCTTTGTCCAAGTTTCTCTTCCAAGCAGTTCCTCCTTCCCCTACTTCCAGTTTTCCCACCGCCCTTTGTGGTGGCCTCATTAGCACCTGTTCTGGCAGAAGGGACTTACACTATACACTGTGTTTGTCACTGATCTCCCCCCTGCTCCCCAGGATTGCTGCAAAGTTAGAGGAGACTCATGGAACACAACACAGAAAAGGGCTCTGAAGAGGTCAACTCGTCCAGGGATTCTTCCTAAGATTCCAGAGGGGTTCGTGAACTCGGATGGGACAAAATTCTATCTTTATTCTCAATAGCTTCTAATTGAAATTTAGCATTTTCTTGGATTATGAGTGTAGGTAACAAACATTATTCTGAGAAAGGGTCCATAAAAGGGGTCTATCAGATGCCAAAGAGGTTAAGAACTCCTGACCTTGTCAAGCTCTCCTCCTTTCCTCATCTGACAGCAGGAGAAGCTGAGAGCCAGAGAGAAGTGATTTGCCCATACAGTCAGCAAGTAGGAGACCTTTAGGACACTGAGGCCACTGCTCTTTTGGAATGGCTTTTGTAGTGGCTTTGTGGTTAGGGACTCATCCTAGGGACCTCTTCCTTCAGCTCCCCCTCACCAAGCTAGGGGCAGCTGGTTTTCCAGCATAATAGTCCATTCTGTCCAGTCAACTCTGGGGACAAAAGAGACAGGAAGTGAATAACTATGGCATAGTAAGACAGTCTCTGCATACTGAGTAGGAGGAATCTGGGTTCAAATCCCAGCTTGGCTACCTACTGGCTCTGTGACCTTGGGCAAGTGACTTCTGCTCTCCCAATCTCCACTTCCTCCTCTACCCAGCTAGAGTATCAACCAAATGATCTCCAAGGTCTTTCTTTCAGCCTCAGATTCCATGGTCTGCTTCTCAGTCCTTTATGTGTTAAGCATCTCACTCAGGATATGGCCGGGAAGGGGGCCCAGGCATGGTGTCTGGGAGATGGAGAAAAGGGCCCAGAGAGGCCAGGTTTCTTCCATCTAAGAAAACACCCATGAGCGGGGGCCAGGAAGGCTAGGGTATCAGTATCCTAGGCCAGCCTTGCAAGGAAGCAGCAAATGCTTCCCAGACCAAGCCAGTGAATCAGGCCCATAAAATCAGCTCCCTGCTGCCCAACCCCTCACCACTAAGGAGAAGCCAGGAAATAGCTCAACGAGAGGCCATCAGTATGGGGCTGCTTTCCAAAATGTGAATTGCTCCTTGGACACCACTAAGTGGGTTAATAAGTGGTCCCAGGGCTGAGATTCCAGGCCCCTAGGCGAAGTTTTACAGACAGCCCTCCTCCTTCCTGACCCCCTTCCCTCCTTCCTTCCTTTTTCCCTCTCCACCCCACCGGCACAGACAGGGGCATCAGTGTTCTCGGTCTTTGCCCCTTTCAGGGCATTCTGGTGCATTCTGGGGCCCAGAAGAGGTCAGTGTGACCCCCACGGCAAGCCACTTTTCTAGGCCTAAATCTCCTTATCTGAAAAATGAGAATTCTAAGGTTGCTTCCTTGATCTAAATCTAGGAGTGTGTTGTAGACATCTTCCTTGGGGCCTGCACCCCAGCAGCCATTTTCTCCCACCTGAAGAAGACCCCATCTGATCCCTGCTTCAGGCTGCTCTGAGATGAACATTGGAGAGGTGAGGAGGGAGGAAGTGTGAGAGAGAGAAAGGGACTCCCCCTACCCTCTACTGGTAGACAGTGAGCATCCGAAGGGCTGGAATGGATTCCAGGAGATATTATTTCTGGCTCAGTCCCCTAACGCGCAGGATGATCTCACATCTGGCATAATAATCACACATAGAGATGTCTCTCTTGGCTTTTCTCTCACTGTGGAAGGCAGGGGGTCCTTTCAGAATCATCAATAAGGGATCAATCCTTGCCATGATGCTTGACACTCGCCCTGGCTGTCTTTGGAGAGTGAGAAATAGCTGCCTTATATATCTAGTACCATTGGTATGAATTACCATGAGCAGGATGCTGTTGAAGCAAGCTTTCAGGTCTCATGAATTAAAGTGCTATACTCTGTACTGTTTCTGGCTTGGGCTTCTGCTGCCAGGGCTACTGAGGCAGGGAGCCTAGCTGAGGGGAGGCAGCATGGTTTCCCTTTCAATTGCCCTTCCATGCTATCTGCTTGCCCTATCATTGGAGTACAGACTTCCAAGGCCTCCAAGGGCCCCCACAGCTCTTCTTTTGAAGTGACTAACCAGGAGAGAATTTAAAGAGATCTATTTGCATCCTCTAAAGCACTTTCCATGAATTTTTATTCAGCACTAGGATCTAGTACTACTTCAGAGGGAAAGGGATGTCACCCTGTAGAAAAGGGCATTTATCCAGGGGGATCAAACCCAAACAAGGTACCAAATCCTGGCTCTGGCATGCATTAAGAGTTACTTCCTCACTCAGTTTCCTCCCACTCAAAAAGGAGGGGTTCATAGCAGCAGACAATACTGATGGTCCCTGCGGGCTCTGAGGAATCCCTGAATTGAAACTGAAGTTAAAGTAGAGCTTTCTTCCACCTCTGCCTCCATCCTGAAGGCCTAGGCAGGTACCATTCACTCTGAATCTCTGCCTGCCTACACGGGGGAGTGCTGGCCACTGGACACTTCTTTCCTTAGGAGGCTACCATTGGGTGCATAGGATCAAAGTGGGGTCATACTGGAAAGAGTGTTAGATTTGGGGTCAGTGACCTTGGGTCACAAGTCATTAATATCTCTGGGTTTCCATTCCTCAACTGTAAAGTGAGGGGGTTGGACTTCATGGCCCCTAAAACCATGACGCTGTATATCTCAGAATGTTAGACCTGGAAGGATTCTCACAGGTGGGGTAGCCTAGTCCTCTAGCTATACTGGCAGGAAAATAGGCCCAGAGAGGGAATGTGACTTGGCTGACATCACACAGAAAGTCAAAAGTAAACTGTCAATAAGATCCTGAACTCTGACTCCATGGGGATTTCAGAAGGGGGATTCCCTGAACCCTGGACCGCCCAACTGTGGTCCCAGAGGCTCACATCTGCTTCCTAGCCTACTTCCACTATCACTCATAGGAAACCTTGTTTTTTGTCTTTTTGTTTTGACACCCTTATATCTGCATAGTGTGAAGATTCTCACTTTCCTATGGCAGGAAGATTCTACAGATGAGTTGATCCCGTCTTACGAACACACAACTAACTGTGGTGACTGGGGAGGAGAAGGAGGGGAAGAAAGCTTGAAGTGGGGCCAGATTGCAGGGTGGGGTGTCGTGGGATGGAAGGAGGAGAGGTAAAGTAGGGGCATGCTCCAAGAAGATAAAGCAGGCTCCCAAACCCAGATAGGTGAGTATTCAGTTACTCCAAAACAGGAAGGAAAGAAAGGTAACAAGCAAGAAAAAGCTTTTGGATTTAGGATGTAGATGAGAATGCACCCAGAAAAACCCCATGACAGAATTTAATGAAGTATTTCTGAGCTCCCAACCGAGCTTGGAAAAGTACAATGAGAAATGTTACAGAGAAATGTTACAGTTGATGAGATTTCACTAATCAGACTATGCAAAACGAGAATTAATTGTAATAGACTGATACGGCACCTTAGAAAAGAAACTAAATTACAGTTTTCAAGATTGCATTGAAAACAGGTCATTTTGTTCCCCTCTTTACCACCACCACCACTGCCACCACCACCACCATCACCGTGCATGCAAAAGTAAATTACCTGTCTTGTTTGCTAAGCTCATTAAAATCTCTTCCATGAAAATGAGTCAATCGCAGAATCTGAATGTCAGGAGATGTTATGTAAAATATAGTAGTTTGATCTTTCCATCTCAGTCACTTTGGCTTCAAATGCTCTGTTGGGCTGATTTTACCCTGAGCCCACACACTGATGGAACCTGACAGGGAAGGGGGAAGAATGACTGACGGAGAAAAGGAAAGATGTTCCTCCAGGAGAATGTCACCTACAGAGTAGATCTGGCAGAAAGATTTGCTCATTCTTTATCTCCATCACCAAAGATAACACATAGTTGGAGGTCTTAAAATATTCCATCTACCCCAGTAAAAAAGAATAACAATAATAATAATAATAATACAATAATAATAATTGCATTGCTAAGGGACCGATTTATAGCAGAAACAAAAAATTTAGAATGGACAATGGCACAGTTGGGCACATACATAAGGAAGCCAAATATACCTATATATTTATACATATACACATATATTTCCTTTTTTTCTTTCTCTCTCTAATGGCTGCACAGGAGGCAAGTTTGGGAAAAAGGCTCTATGCAGATTCCAAGATGCTGGTGCATAAAAGGAGCTTCCCCTATCTGCGCCGGGGACAGAAAGAAAACTGCAAATGGAGACCCAAAGCCCTCCTCCCCAGCCCTCAATTCTGCCAAAAAAAAAAAAGTCCTGTGTCCAAGGCAGTGAAAAAAAAAGTAGGAATAGCACGCAAACACACACGCACACCAATAAGGTGTGGTACCACTTGAAAACCATGATCCTGTACAATGGCTTTGCCCTCACGTCGCAGGGGCTCCGTTGGGGGTGGACGGAGTAAGCTGAGGGAGATGAAATGGTGGTCTTCTTTGCAGATACACCAACGTCAGCTTCGGTGGAGCCAAAATAGGCCCACCCCCAGGAAGAGTCTGCTGTTGGCCAAGCTTTGGGTTGGATGTATGGAGTTGGCCAGTAGTAGCTGCAGCTCGTTCTCAGTCTCTGATCTGTCTCTCTCTCTCTCTTTCCGACTCCCAGCGTAGACCACCACACGTCGGTCCCGGATGGAAATGAAGCTTCTCCTCAGAGTTCCTATTGATGGCTGAAGCAAGAATTCAGAACTCCCCGGGTTTTTATGTTATTTTTTTAAATTTTATTGCATTAGGAAACAAAACTATTAAAGCATTGAAGACAGCCCTTTGGTGTCCCTGACAAGAAGATGGAGCTGGTTCTTAAGACGGGTCGTCCTGCCGGCCTCGGGTTCCCTTTGCCGAAAGCGTCTTGGTGTCCACCACGTTCCCTTTCCGGTTTCATGGAGGAAAAAAGTCTGCCCACCGGGCATGCACATGCATGGCGAGTTTGGTTCACAGTGTCGGGTGAAAGACTACTTACTACTCCATGCCACTGCGGAGAATCTGATTGGCCGCGATCAACATGACACTGATAATGAAGGCCATGGCAAAGGCGCATATTAAGCTCTTCCTGACGCAGGTCTGTCTGTTCTGCTTTTGGGAATGCACTGGGGGAGGGGGAGGGGGAGCGAAACATGGAAGACATGGAGAAGGAGAGAGAAGAGAGAGAAAGGGAAGAGTGAGTAAGGAAGCACTGCCTTCTGGATTCAATTTCATTTAACCAACATTTATTAAATGCATACATTTATTAAACATAGGAGATACTAGGCTAGGCACCTGGGACACAAAGACAAAAAAAAAAAAAGAAATAGTCCTTGCCTTCAGGGGGATTAGATTCTTCCATGGTAAAGTTTCTTAACCTGGAGTCTATAAACATATTTTTTTTAAAAAAGTACTTTGATAAGTGGATTTCAATATGTTTTACTCCCTTTGTAATCTTGTGTATTTTAAAATCTGCTAAAGTGGTTTTACCACACTGCCAAAGGGGTCTATGACACAAAAAAGGTGAAGGACCCCTGTTCTAGGGTGATTCACCTGCATGACCCTGAGTGAATCCCTCAACAATGCATTTATAAATTTGTATTTATAATTTATAAATGTCTCCTGCGTTTATAAAATGAGGTTGATCTAGATGGCCTCTGAGATGCCTTACAGCTTTAAACAAGTGATCCTTTCTTGCCTGCCAGAAAACAGTGTGGTGAAATGGATAGAGAGTCTGCCTTGATGCTAAGACCTGGGTTCATGTCCTACCTCCCACACGTCCCACCTGTGTGACGAGGGCAAATCACTTAAATTCTTAGTACTTACAAAACTCTCTAAGACCCTAGATTGTGGAGAAGAGGCCAATAGGCACTGATAGAGGGTTTCCTCAACTGGGAGTTCCTTAAACCCGTGAGGATCACAGAGTCAGTCCTTATCCCTATTCTATGATCCTATGTGAATGGATAAGTAAGTAGATGATGGATCATTTCAAGACTCATCACTGCTAGGACTGTTCAGTGAAGAACTGAAGTTGAACCTTGAAGGGAGCTAAGCATTCTAAGAGGTGGTCAAAGGGGAGTGATTGTTGGGATGGAAGACAGACTGGGCAAAGGCACAAGGGTGGGAGATGGTAGATTATGGGTGGTAGATGGTAGACGGTAGATAGTTAGGGGAAGAACATGTCAGTTAGTTTGCTTAGAACATGAAGAGGAATTGTATGGAAGAAGTCTGGCAAGGTAAGTAGGAGCCAGATCCTGAAAACCTTTAAAAGCCAAATGAGGACTTCTCATTTCATGCTGGAGACAACTTGGAGCCATTGAATGTTTGTGAGCAAGGGAGAGAATTTGTGTCCCTGGAACCTCACTGACGTAGGGGAACTCCCTCTCCCAATGCAAGTCAGTACCTGTTCTGCACCTCAGATGCTTAGAAGGTGGCCGGGGGAGAGGAAGGGCAGGGAGGGTATTGGCAGGTTAAATGATTTGCCCAAGGTCACAGAGTCTGTATGCAATGGGTAGAACCCATGTCTTCAGAATATTGATTTGGTTACTATCTGGAGGATAGATTGGAATAAGTCAAAGTTGAATCATGAAGAATGATGACTGATCAAGTCAGGTCAACATGTGCTCATGGACTCTCTGCTATTCTGATAGATCAGCTCAGAGCATCACTGACTTGGGGCAAGGTCATTGCAAAACTACCAGAGAAAAGAATGTGACCTTCAGAATAAATTATTCTAGCTAGAAATCCTATAAACTAAGAACACGGTCATAGGATCATAGATGGGGGGGGCGGGCTGTAGTTCAATTCTTTTATTTTACCCATGAGGAAACTGAGTCACAGAGAAGTTAAGTGACTTGCAGAAAATCATTTAGCCATTAAGTAGCTGAGGTAGGATTCAGACTAAGCCCTTTGACTCAAAAATCCAGCAACATTTGTCAGAGAACCACTGCTTGGTATCCAGATGGTAGAGTTACTACAGAACAGAATTAGACCAAATTTCCAAGCATGACAACATACTGTGTTCTAGATACTTTATAAAAGAACTATTTGGTCAACATATCACCATGTCCATTTAACTCCAAAGACATTTCTGCTGTGATTTTCTTGGTGAACAGAACAAGAGACCCCAAAAGTTATGTACATATCTATGATAGACACTAAATGATTTGTCTTTTGTTGAAATTGGTTTTGTACCCATTCATCTAGCCTGCCTGCCTTTTTCTTCCCTCCTTCCCTTATTCTTTCCTGCATTCTTTCTCCTTCCTTCCTTCTCTTCCTCCCTCCTTCCTCCTTTCCCTCTTTCTTTCTTTTTCCTTCCTTCCTTCTTTCCTTCCTTCCTTCCTTCCTTCCTTCCTTCCTTCCTTCCTTCCTTCCTTCCTTCCTTCCTTCCTTTCTTCCTTCCTTCCTACACAACCCAATGTTACTGGATGTTTCATAATTCACAGAGTGTGCAGGCAGCATGGTCTAGTGGAGAGAACATTGGACTTGGAGTCAGGAAGACCCATATTCAAATCCTGCCTCAGGCCTCAGGTTACTCTGTGACCCTGGGCAAGTCACTTAACAGCTCTCAGCTTCCATTTCCTCATCTGTGAAATGAAGATAATAATAGCACCTCCTTCACAGGTGAAGATGAAAGGAAAGAATATGTGTAAAGCACTCTGTAGACTTTAAAGGGTGATATAAGAATAGTGAGGATTTTTGTAGCACCTCAAGTTTTATGAAGCACTTTACACATGTTCTCCCATTTGGTCCTCACAATACCTCTGGGAGTAGTTGCTATTATTATCCCCCTTTTGCAGATGAGGAAACCAAGGCACACAGAAGTCCAGTGACTTGCCCAGGGTCATAGGGCTGGCTAGTGAGTATCTCAGGCAAGATTGCAACTCAGGTCTTCATGTTTCCAAGTCCAGGATGCCATCCATGGGGCAACTGCTATTGGTGCCTAGAAAGGACCTTAAAGACCATTTACCAATAGCTCTTTATTCGACAGAGGAGGAAATTAAAGCCCAGAGAGGTCAACACAATTTTTATTAGGCACCTACTGTATACCAGATACCACTAACCTGGGGAGATACAAAGACAAACCAAACCAAAGCAAAACAAAAAGAAACAATCCCTGCTGCCGAGGATGTTATGTTTGATCAGAGGAGACAGTGTGAATATATGTATGTATGTATGTACCGATGTACCTTAAATCTAATCTTCCATTTTACTGATGAGAACATTGAAGCCCAGAAGAGTCAATTAATTAACTTGCCCAGGATCTAACTGCCTATCAAGTGTCTGAGCAGGTTCAGACTCAGTGTCTTTTTTTTTTAAATATTATACTCTGTTTGCTATACCATAGTGTTTCTAAGAGAGAAAAGTGAGAGATAAAGATGGGTAGTTTATATGGGGCCAGTTGAACAGCAAACTGACCAGTTGAGATCAAATGACCTCTGAGGTGTCTTCCATTTCTAATGTTCTGTGATTCATCCAGGGTAGATGTATGTAAGGGTGTGTGCATGTGTATGCGAGTGTGTGCGTGTGGGGGGGGGCTATATGTGGGAGACTCTGAGTCAGCAAACTCTAGGGTAAAGGGAACCTCAGTGTGTTAGGACTGGAAATAAGAAAGATTGTATAAGGGGTTGGGAAGTCAATCATTTGCTGGTGATCTCCTCTTACTTCTCACATAGTATATACCAGTAAAAAGAGCTGTCATGTAAGAAGCTCAACTTTTATTTCATCCGGGGTATCTGAATTCTAGGCACTTCATGATTTCTATTTTAGGAAGTAATGGCCTATGGTGGTCCAAGAGGAGCAAGGAGGTGGGGCCCATGACAACAGTGTGACAATTCCAAATTTCAACACCATGAAAAAGAAAATCCCATATGTGAACATTTCATTCTCTCCCTTTGAAATGGTGTTGGTGAAGGAGGCAGCATGCTGTGGTGGAAAGAAACTGAGAAGCCAGTAGACCTTCAGTTTCACCAAGGACCTCAACAAAAATTCATTAGGTACCTACTGTGTGCAGAGAGACCTGGGCTTTAATCCTAGCTTTGTCACTAGCTAAGTGACCTTGGGCAAGTAACTTGACTTACTTAAACTAATGGACATTGGTTTCTTCCTCTGAAAATGTGATGGTTGGAGTAGACATTGTTTTGAAATTAAATTTTCTTCTTTTTTATTATATATTTTACAATCATCAGCAAGCATTCCAATATTCAAAGAATAATAAAAACAAGATTACTTAGGAAATTATGAACTTCTGTTATTTTTTTTAATTTTTTGTTTTTAAATATATATTACATGTAGTATATTATTAACAAAATTGCCCTATTTGTTTTTGTATCCTTTTCTGAACAGAGACTACAACTGTAAAAAGATCTTTTATCTCTGGCATTCTAAGAGTCTTTTATCTCCATATTCGTTCTACTTAAAAAGAATTCAGTCTTGAAAGAAAGACAAGACAGAGAGAGAAGGGTCTTCTATCTTTCCTCTCATGGCATGATGGCCTTCATCTTTAAACAAACTTCTTCTTGCACCCTTCAGTGCAAAATGAGCAGTCTTGTTCACCCACCCCATCTTTCTGACTGCTCTTCCCCAGGCCCCTGCTCTCCTAGCCACTGAGCACAGCAAAGGTGCCATTCTATGCTCCCCCAAGGTCAATGACAGATTAGTAATTCAATTGCCCGCCATTTGTTTTCTGTTTCCCAGCCACTATGAACATATTTATAGCTATACACACATGTATACATGTGTAGCTATACATATGTGAGTACATGTGTAGAAGTTATTATGTTGATAATAGAATATATATATATATGTACACCTATATACATTTATATTCAGAGCTCACTTGGCTGACAGAAATTCTGTAAGCTAACCAATCTCTGTTTCTGTCATGGCTTACATAATAAAGTTTCTCTGCCTGACCTTTGAAGCAACTAGGTGGCTCAGTGAATAGAATGCTGAACCTGAAGTCAGAAAGACCTGAGTTCCAATCCATCCTCAGACACTTACTAGCTGTGTGACCCTGGGCAAGTCACTTAATCTCTGTTTCCCTTAATCCACTGGAGAAGGAAAAGGCAATCACTCTAGTATCTTTACCAAGGAAATCCCAAGGACAGTATAGGCTGCTATAGTC